ACTTAACCAGCGACGATTGGTCAAAAGAAACGTTTACGACAGTCCCTCGCTTCCTAGATAGGATAGAGGGAAATTGAGAGAAAGAAAAAGCGGGGATGTTAGTCAGTCCAGGAGGACCGCTAGGATCAAGGACGTTAAAGATTTATTTAAACCTTTTTGGGTAGGACCGGCATGGGGGGGGGGGGGGGGGCTGGAGGTGGTTGGGGGGGGGGGTTAAAGTGGTATATTGTGTTATACACATTTATCGGAGCTGTTCAGTACATGCTGACTTTGGCCGCTATGCGGAACTCGGCGTCGAGAAAAACACTACAGTTCCGCTTAGCTTCCTCGAAATATTCCCCGTTGGCTAGCTATTGAAGAATATTACTTTAGTAACCTATTTGCAGCCTTATCGAATGCGCCATGTGTGCGCAATGCTGCTTCTTGCGGCTGGTACGAAAACTAACAGAGTTACTAAAAACTGATCTCCCAGTACTTGCTTTTGTTTGAGAATTGTGACATAGTCCGCCGTTAATATGAACTTTGCTATCGATTCCACGTGGCCGTTTACTGCGAATAAGCAAGATATGTGAACAGCAGCGGGAGAAGAGAAGGAGGAGGCTGGGATCGAACCAAATGAACGACAACGATATCGCGTGCCTTATCGGATGTATGCCATCAGTCTGCTCGCTCGCTAACAGCCATGACGTCACCATATCCACTGTTTCTATGCGTCTAGAGAACACACGAGCTCTGTTTCACTTGGTCCTATCGGTTGTAAATTTGCTGATGTTATGAGCCTCAGCTCTCTACAATGGGACACAGCATAAGCGGGAGCGCAACTGATGTACAGCTTCAGGCTGGGCCCACGACAAACGCCACACCAAGTGCTCCCTCGAAATACCTGAAACACAAAAAACGCGGAAAATCAAAGCGATATATGCTGTTCAGCGACAATGATGACACAAACAAGGTCACGAGAGCAAAGTGCGATACGGTGGAAAAAGTATTTTTCGGAGTATATTGCGCTTTACCACGACGTGATCAACTTTGAAGAGTGTGACAGAAGACGGTTATAGTTTACCGTTGGCGTGACAGTGGGGGTTAAGGGAATATATAGCGTTGCCGTGCCGCCAACGTTCTTTGCGGACAGCACCTTATCGTTTAGGGGAAAAGCGTTTACGGGGTTTGCGTGCCCCAGCTAGAACAGTGGTGCCACCTATAGGAGAGAGAATAGGCCCGTGTGCTCAGATTTGGGTGCACGTTAAAGAACCCCAGGTGGTCTAAATTTCCGGAGCCCTCCACTACGGCGTCTCTCATAATCATATGGTGGTTTTGGGACGTTAAACCCCACAAATCAATCAAATCAATCAATTATAGGAGAGAGAATAAGTTAAAGAACGGTGAAAAAGAAAAAAAAACGTGAAACGTGTGAAAAACGTGAAAAAAACGCGAAAAAACGTTAAAACGTAAAAAACGTGAAAACGCGAAGCAATCTTCAAATTTTTGTAGTAATAATAAAAGGAAATAAATATGAACCACGCACCAAACGCGAAAACGTTTCTGCTGCTAATTTGTTTACATCGATCTTCTAGTTAGGCCCAGACTAGAGACGTTCGAAATGTGAACGTAACTAAAAAATTACGCTAACTTATTCATAATACTTGGTCATCGAACTTAACTGAAGGAAAAACAAAGTCATTATAAACAGGTGTTTGTGGCCAACAATGTGTTACTTTCAAGAACTACGTCATAATCAATTCGAAGCGGGCGTCCGAAACCGACGCCATTTTTTACGCATACTACGTAAACCGCACTAACACGGTAACGTTAAATCTGAAAAATAGCATGCATACAGAGAGCGGTACGGGTCACGTACGTTACTCCTCATGCGCACTTGAATCCCCTATGCAGTAATTACGATACGCTACAGTTTTCGCAGTGTGATGTAGCAGAATGTCGCTGCTATACTACTCATGTTGACCATGATACAATGACAATCGGCAGCGGTCAATTTATGTCGCATTTTTTTAGGTTTGTGTAACTAGAGTGAAAAAAAAAAGAAACTGCTTTTATCATGGCGTGAAAAATGGTCGAACAGGCAATAACTTATGAATGCCAAGCATTTCTTAGCTAACTTCGGCGACTTTGAGCGTATCTATCTATCTATCTATCTATCTATCTATCTATCTATCTATCTATCTATCTATCTATTTAAAACATTTATCTCTCATGGCCGTTTCGGTGATGGTATTGATATCGAAATTACTATGGCACAACGTGAATGCATGACGAGCATAACTGACTAGTTGTAACATAAAAATCATGACATATCATGGACGTCATGATTTGCATTTCATGGTATTACTGCTCTGGTGGTGGTTTCGTTCATATGACATGTTTCAAAACTGGTATGGTGTGCAATGACTGCATGGCAAACACAAGTGACAGACCCTAATGTGGAAATCATGGCATGCATGTCATGTAAATCATGACTATACGACACTCTCATGGTGCACTCGTGGTTGTTCATCACGGGGGATGAATTGATGACGAAGACATGTGACTGGTGCAAACATGATAATCATGAGATGCGTGTCATGTAACAACATGACTACATGCCACGCTCATGATGCGATCGCGGCCGTTTCGCTAGCTTCACATACACGAAATTTGGTATTACGTGACGTGCATGGACGACGAAGGTTAAATGACAAGTCCAAACATGATTAACATGAAATGCGTGTCATGTTAAACATAGGTACATGCTACGCTCATAGCGTGCTCGCGGCCCTTTCACTAGCTTCACATATTCCAACTCAGGTATTACGTGACGTGAATGGACGACGAAGGTAAGTGACTCGTCTTAACATTATAATCATGACATGCGTGTCATGTAAAACATCACTACAGGCTACCCTCATAGCGCGCTGGTGGACGTTTCGCTAGCTTCACATATACCAAATTTGATATCACGTGACGTGAATAGACGACGAAAGTAAAAGACACGTCAAAACATGATAATCATGGTATGGAAGTCATTTACGGCATAGTTTGCGTGTGCCTCGTAATGTTCCGCTGATTTTAAAGTGACATATCAACCTTCCTCATTCGTGCTTCGCATATCATCGATTCCCACTGTACGTGAAATCTGCCAATTTTTCATAAACGGCGCTGATTTCAAGTAGACCACTATCCCGCAATCTATACCTGAACATACTGAAAGCTCAGACACATTCATACGCTCTAAATATCAGCAACAAACCTGGAACTATCTATTATCTTGACAACCATACCGTGATACGGTGACCATTTATTTGCTTTCCTGTGACTCTTAGTAATCTCATGTCAGCTAGCTTCTTAAACGCGCTCCCGACAGTTCATACTAGTCAGAATAGTTCACTGTTTGCTCAGGTGTGTCTTTTGTCTCTGTTATCCACTTTTTTACCTTTTTCGTCATATCTTATTACCTTCATCTGCTGTAGAACACGAAATATGGTTAGCGAGAATTCTTAGTTTTCCATTCAAATATGCACCAGCCTCCGTCTCCCTCTCGGTCCCTTGAAGCTTCAAGTTTTAGCCTTGACACAGTGAAACCAGAGTTGGCTACTATTTCGGGCAAAGGAATTACCGAAATTGCCTTTCTCGGCGTCTCGTCGCTCTACCTTTCGCAAACACTGTATCTGCTTGTATTAAAACGCAACACTGCGCAGGACTAGAATTTTTAGGGCGTTAAAAACAAGCGAGAGTTACTCATGCAAGTAGATACCACATGATAATAATAGTATAATAATATTAACAATGATTATTATTATTATTATAATTATTACTATTATTATTATTATTATTAATATTATTATTATTATTATTATTATTATTATTATTATTATTATTCCCAAAATGCGATGTCTTTTTTATGATACCTTCCTTGATCTTGGTGTTTTTGATTGTCCACAGTCGTTTTTATCTAAGATTTGCACTGTCCTAATGTAGTTTTCAACAATGTATACATATTTCCTTTTCCCGCCTTTCAGAACGACTTTCATATGGCATTATATACTCAACATTATTTTTAAGTGTGAATACACTTTATAAGCGACCCCAAACCATCCACCGCCGTCAGCGGCGTCCGCAGTCTTCTCTCTATCTTTAAAAGAAAGAGGACTTGGCGGGCCGCCGCGCGACGCTCTACCGAATAAGCCACGGCGCGACGCTGATATCGGTGTCAGTAACGCGCCTTATACCCCTCCCCCTTCGCTCGCTCCTCCGCTCTCCTCGCTCGCTGCAGCTGCGCGCGCACCCCTCTCTCTCGCGCGCCCACCTTCTCTCTCAGTCTCCCGTCGAGAGCGGGTCGTGAGGGGGAGTAAAGTTAAAATCCGTTGGCATTCGCCAGTGAGTTAACGTAAACTCCCCCGTGTGATCAAAGTGCGATTCCCAGGAACCATTACACCATAAAGGCACCATAGTGTGATTTATAAATATAATAGTGCGAATTATTAAATACCCCTCACAGCATCATCCTGTGTATTCGCACTTAACCATGTTCACCCTCGGGGAAATGCTTGGGAGTTTTTTCACTCTCATCCCTTTATTCTCACCTTGTCCTTTTAATATTCTCATAATGCTTTAATCTGTTCTTGTCAGTTTGTACTCGCGCTTTTTAATTCAATTTTTTTTCTGAAGACTGTCTGTATAGTGCTGTTTATTTTTATTGTTTTAATTTTGCATGGGCCCCACACAAATGCTTTATGATTGTTCCTGGAGACGTTAAATAAACGATTAAATAATTAATTAGTTGGTTGGTTGGTTGGTTCATTGATTGATTGATTGATTGATTGATTGATTGATTGATTGATTGATTGATTGATTGATTGATTTATTGTGCACTGACAACCATTTTACGTCTATCATAATGGTACCGCAAGGGCGGGGATCAAACCCGTGATACGCACGTCAGCAACCGATCCCCCTAACTGCTGTGACTCGCAAGTTACTCAGGCAACTGGCTCTCGCCCACTTACGGACGCCACGAAGCCGAGTCCGCTGACAGAGGCCAGGACCGTCCTCATTTGCAAATGCGGCGTGACCACTGACGCAGGCGTCAGTCCTTCGTCGCTGATGACCGCGGCCGAGGCGTACATCAACGGTAGCGAGAGCAAGGTGCACACGCCAACTCCAGTGGCCACCTGCGAGACACGTAGACAGGAAAACACACGAGGCTACGCTGGAAGGGAATTCAAGGGAAGCGTACGGGGCAAAACAAATGGGGTTTATAACGGCTACAGTGTGGCTTCCAATCATTCCAGAACACCCTCTCCTCAATCCGAGCTATGCACAGCGCGGCTGTTAAAGCCTTCCGTTAGTTCATGCATAGTGAACAGAAAACAATCATTAATAGGCACGTCCTTTTGTTCATCCTCTTCCTCGTGTTCCCCTTCTCTCCCACAACAAGAGCGCAGATTTGCCTGGAGTGGGATGCCATGGCTCCAATGGGCGAGAGATTGAGTGGCCAGAGAGAGAGACCGATAAATAGAAAGGGATAGAAGCAGAGCAGAAGAGACAGAAAGCAAGAAAAAAAGAGAGAGGGAAAAGAATAGAATGAAAGAGGAAATGAGATGTAGATGGAGAGATAAAAAATAGAAACTGCGAGAAAGACGGAAGTAGAAAAAAAGGAGACAAAAACGGATATAAAAGATGGAGAAAAAGAAAGACGAAAAAATTTAACAGCAATAAAGCAGCCCCCTTCCCCCCCTCCCCCCGGCGTGCTTCCTTCGAGCGTGGCACTGCCAGGGTTGGGCTGCCATACATGTGTCACACAGGTCCCGTTAATTAGGGAGGCGATCGCTGGGCTAATTCCAAGGGCCGAGGTATCGGCCCCCCAAACCGCACCACGAAAGCGTGGACAATTTAGAAGTGGTCCTATTTGGCGCGCCAGCGGACGCCGGCTGTGGCCTAAAGAACAAGTCAGAGCCGAGAGTTGATAAACAAACGAAATTATATTCTCAATAATGGCAGATCAAGACAACACACAAGTATGCACACTCCACAATAGTTGAGTACAATATGTCACCAAACAAACAACGTACTACACAGTACAATCAGCCACACTCGAAACAACGGACACAGACAACAATACGCACTACAATGCAGTCGCATGCATTGAACAACCAAGACACTTAAAGACTAAAGAGATAGTAAACCTATTCAGTCCAAAGTTCTTGGAGCAAAAGTCTAGATGATACTCTTCCGAGAATCACTCACTCAAAGTCCAGCGTTGTTGTCGTTCCGCGGCCCCCGAAGTTTCTCTTCCAGGAAACCTCACGTCTTCAATAGGCCACTCTCCAAGCTTCAAACTTCTTCGCCGGAAACACGTCGGCTTCACACACGCAGCTGTTGCCACGCGTCTTCGCTCGATAGCGGTAAACACACACTCTTGCCTGTAGCTCGAGCCTTCACCCCTCAGGTGGAAATCCTCTTCTCCTCCTGCTTTGTCCCTACGGACAAAACCTTCGCCGACTACACGGCGGAATCCGTACGCGCTCTGGCGCTAACTTCCGTCTTCCCCTCTTCTCTCACCTCGGCTGCTCCATTAAATACCTTCCGCACGAGATTCCAGAATGTTCTCGTCATTTCGTCGGCGCGATACGCAGCGAAGGCTGGGGAGAGGGCGAGACGGCTCGAAGGCCGTCTGCGATGGATGACTCAACCTGGCCTCACCACGCCCCTTTCCATCTAGAAAGTTCGAGTGCCTGCTCGGCCGCCGTTGTGGGGTGAGGAGGTTCGTCGGTGAATCTACGCTTCCGAGGGAGAGAGTCGCGCCCGGGGAGTCTGGATGTTTGTTTTCTCTTTTTTTTATCGTTGACCTCGCGGCGTCACTCCGGCGTTTCGTCGCGAGGAGTTGGCGGCGCGCTCTTTTCCAGCGCTCGTTCTGTGACAACATGCATAGCTTTTTTTTTAATTTCTTGTTTCGTAATGAAAGGAGAGAAGAAAATAATAGCACGTTGCTCTTTTTTATGCAGTCACAAGAAACATAACGGAATAATTCTTACTCTTTCCCGCCGTTATTCGTGTTCCTATCGACGTATACAGGACGGAATTATTGAGTGCGCGATAGTATTTATTTATTTATTTATTTATTTATTCATTTATTTATTTATTTATTTATTTATTTATTTATTTATTTATTTCCAGGTACTGCAGGTCACTACAGCCCATGGTGGAGTGGATAAATTTGTCCATATAGATAAGACAGGAAATCTTACAACCTTTTTATAGGTTTGAGGTGGAAACGAGCTACTCTGCACGGCATGGTGTAGAACGACAGAAAAGGCACTGTCTGCCAGTCAGCGCCTTCGCTGTAATTCTACCACCATCCTTTGTCTGACGCTCTTTGTTTCCGACTGTATGGTGTGCCAACCGGCATGCTTACGTACCCTTCTGCAGTTAAATTATGTTTATTTGCTATACAAAAGGTATACCGGCGTGATAGCTTGGCACAGTTTTGTGGTTCGCAAAAAGGAATTCGGCAGACGATGCGCCACGACAAAGAAAGAGGTAATGTCGGCAGACTTTACATCCTGATTCAGAACTCGTTTGCCGGGCTGTCCGATTCTCACAGTGAGTACCGTATGTCGTAAGAGGAGAACTTCTCTGCGATTGAGTGCAACGGTGATCGTGTCTTCTATTTACGGCATTGTCTTTCGGAGCTGGCCGTCGGGGAAAAAAAAACGTGGGAAGGGGGAGACGCAAGAGCGGGAAATGGGCAAAGAGCCGAGGAGAGAGGTGGTGAAACGGGCTGCGCGCTTTCAGTGCACTCTACTGTTCCCACTCTACTATTCCTTACAAGAACCTCAGCGGTGCATTTCCATTCATCGGCGCGCTCGTGCGGCACTTATTCGCGAAAGTTGGAAGTGCCGTTCAAACTGGAGCATAAGCATCCATGAGACCGTGAAACTTTGGCATCGGTTGTTGTGCGTGGGAAATGCGACAGCTGTGCTGGGCGCTGTCGACACACAACGCGCCGCTTTGGTTTGCGCCGTGTAATCAATACAACCGCGCCCTCTAACTGGCATGGTATTGTTACGGTACGAGCATACAATGTGGGTTGTTTGCGCACGTAAATGGCTACATACAAACCTACACATACATACATACATACATACATACATACATACATACATACATACATACATACATACATACATACATACATACATACATACATACATACATACATACATACATACATACACACACACACACACACACACACACACACACACACACACACACACACATACATACATACATACATACATACATACATACATACATACATACATACATACATACATACATACATACATACATACATACATACATACATACATACATACGATTGATTTGATTGATTTGATTGATTTGTGGGGTTTAACGTCCCAAAACCACCATATGATTATGAGAGACGCCGTAGTGGAGGACTCCGGAAATTTCGACCACCTGGGGTTCTTTAACGTGCACCCCAATCTGAGCACACGGGCCTACGACATTTCCGCCTCCATCGGAATTGCAGCCGCCGCAGCCGGGATTCTAACCCGCGACCTGCGGGTCAGCAGCCGAGTACCTTAGCCACTAGACCACCGCGGCGGGGCTACATACATACATACATACATACATACATACATACATACATACATACATACATACATACATACATACATACATACATACATACATACATACATACATACATACATACATACATACATACATACATACATACATACATACATACATACATACATACATACATACATACATACGTTATCGTAAGTTAACATCTCTTAGCTCACGTACATACAAGACACCGAACACTGCTTAGAACGCTATGAAAAATACAGTTTGCAGATCGCTACCTGAGTTCCTCATATTTCGCAGCTTTCCCACTGGCAAAAAACTGTGCGCCTGCAGCGTTCCGTATGCTCAGTGAAAACAAAAACTGCTTCGAAATGAAAAAAAAAAGAAGAAAAAGCTGCCAGCTCGCACTCGCACGAGACATCCTGCGCACAATGTGGCAGAGGGCTGCCGATTCTTCTTATTTCCCGATTCCCATCATGCAGAAGCGAGGAAGAAAATACGGTAACACAAACACACAAACACGAACGTACTACATGAACCGGGTGCAACTGTCGCGTCAATAGTGTTGCTTCCTATGTCATGGCCATTCTCATCCTTTGTCCATGGTTATTACATGTGGGCGCTTGTACCACGATCGAAAAGTGGGAGGAAGCAAGCAGAAGGGAATCCTTACCGTGGCTGTTGGCACGGCTCTCTGAGAGGCGTACAGGATCACAATGGGTGCCGTCGGGACGGTGCCGTAAAGGAAAGCGAAATTGGCCCGGTCCTTGACACCGGATTGCTCCCCGGCCTGGTGAAGTACTAGCTGCGTGGACACTTTGAGGAACATCGGTAGAACGAACCTGAACGGCGGCAAAGAAGAAAAAAAAAAACGGCAATGGCGCATGTGTGTGAACAGAGCCTCCTCTGAACAAGCAGGCGGAAAATAAGAGATGAAACAGGTCTCCGAATAAGGTTTAGTGCAAGGCTCACCACTTCGGACAAGCCATTATTGTTACCAGCGGTTTTTTGAAGTATCGATAGTCATGAAGTTAGGTTACTGCATGTTTCCTTCCTATACCCCTAGTCTCTTGAGAATCTTTTTGTTTTTCTCACGCTGACGTGCTCAGATAACGTATCCTTAATCTTTCTTTAATCTAATAGGGGCCTTTTAGAACTGGTATACGCTAGGATTATATATGTCTTTACAATTATACACAAAATATTCCTCTCTTCCAGCCCCCAATCTTAATCACCGATTTCTCTGAACTAGCTTCCTCGCTATAGCTCTACAGTGTATTTTGGCGTTAGCGTAGTTTTGTTTTGTTTTTGTCGGGCCAATTGAGACCACCTGAGTTGGCCACGCTTAACAGAAGCTCCAGGAAGATAAATAGCGGTATCAGGCTGGCCTCAGACAGCCTGTGTGACCCACCTGCTTCTGTCTACACAACCGGTAGAGCAAATTGGGTTTCCATTATTCAGCTCCCATCTTTACTTCAGTTCGCATGTGAAAAAATATCGTAAATGCAGGATCACACTTGTGGCACATTTATTTTCCTTTTAGAGGCGAAGCTTCTTAGGGCCTAGCCTTGCTGGCGTCCGCGTCGGTCACGTGAAGATTCGTGGATGTGACACAGATATGAGACACAAAAAATGTTTAATATTAGACTAATACCAATCATAATTATGACAGAACAGTATAAAACCAACAGAATCATGAACGTTTGTACCAATCGGTGACTTCTTTGTATTTTTTGTGAATCCTATAGGACCTATCTTTGTTGTGGAAGCTCACTGTCTGCTATCATAGTGGTTTGAAAACTGTATGGAAGACCAACAATTGTAATTGTGAAATGACAATATAAAACACCTACCAGCGCAAACCCTTCATACTCGCCAGCGGCTCTAACGTGGTCATTATGGACCTCCTACGGGGCTGCCGAAAAACTTTTTCTATTGACTCCCAAAGGGCCCTAAAGACTAGATAACATCGTCAGCCTCGGACATCATTGGATGATACCACTGCTTTGCTCGTGCACTCGGGGCCTGTCGAGCCCCGAGGTCGGAACAGTTATAAGCTGCGTCACCTTCCAGTCCTCTCGAGTAGGATGGCGGAGGAGAGAAATAGCTGTGCTCAGTTTGCAGTTTTATGCCATGTGGAAGACATCGGCTGTCTCCCAACAGTGATTGCGCCTACCTGTCACTGTGGGGTCAAAGTGTTGTAATATTATAGAGGCAAAAATGCTGTAGACCTATGTGCTCAGATTTGGGTGCACGTTAAAGAACCCCCGGTGGTCAAAATTTCCGGAGTCCTCCACTACGGCGTCTCTCATAATCATATGGTGGTTTTGTGACGTTAAACCCCACATATCAAAGTATTGTAATATTGCCGGGCATAGCCACGGGCTTGTTTGTAGTCAGCGTAGAATTCTTTCTCCTGTCTTATCCAGACTCTTGGCGGGGGGTAGATATACCAACAATGTTGGGAGCGATTGTATTTTACAATTTCCTAGTACCTTAGCAGCAGCAGTTGTTAGGTCCAGCTCATGGCACAAATTTGAGCCTATTTGACTCAAATGAAGTACCCGGGGAATGAGCGTTCGGGCAACCATGTCTGCAACCTCGTTTCCTCGAAGTACCTGAGGACCTGGGGTACATGCCCCAGTTTTAGGGTGGCTTTGGCCAACCTCGTGCTCGCACACAGAATTTCATAGGCAAGGGTTGAAATTCCTCCTGCCAAGGAGCGGGTGCAGGCTTTGCAAGTCAGTAATGACGACTTTAGAAACTCGGTGCGAGAGAGCTCACGCAATAACGACCTCCTCTGCCTGTCTTGAGTTGGGAGGACCGATCTTAGACGTCGACTATTTATGCCACTTTTGTAATTCTATTTACATTGTATGGAGCAACTATCGGGTAAAACTTGTGAGACACGAAAGAAGGTTTAACAATAGATTAATATCAGTCCTAATCGTGACCGAACATTCTAAACACCTACCAGCACAAACCATTCATTGTCGGTGGCATCAACGTACACATTATGAGAGTTAGGAGCTGTAACTTCTGGTACTTGTCATCATTCACTTCGTGGCGATACGTGGATTTTTTTTTTCATTTATCTTCAAGCAGGAGAATTGGTATATGTGGAAATTCCAAGTCACGAAGTGTGTGCCCATAAGGAGACTAAGCTACCGCTTAACAAGGCGTATAGTCACGTGAAAGGATATAGATTGATTGATATGTGGGGGTTAATGTCCCAAAACCACCCAATGATTATGAGAGACGCCGTAGTGGAGGGCTCCGGAAATTTCGACCACCTGGGGTTCTTTAATGTGCACCCAAATCTGAGCACACGGGCCTACAACATTTCCGTCTCCATCGTAAATGCAGTCGCCGCAGCCGGAATTCGATCCCGCGACCTGCGGGTCAGCAGCCGAGTAGCTTAGCCACTAGACCACCGCGGTGGGGCAAGCCATAAAAAAGTAAATTACTGAGAAGTGTCACAGTATATTCAGGTCTGTGCACTGACAACTCGTCACCGAAAAGCGGCTCACGTGGGAACCGCAAATAATGGCCCTTTGACCCTTGCCTCGGCTTGATCGAAAGTCTATTGTGTTTCTAACTATCTAACATGTCTTTAGAGCAAGAAATTGACGCGAGACGGTGCAGGACACCTGCACAAATTGCTCTGTTTTCGAGTTCCTTATCATCATGTGGATTCTTTCTCTTAACCGTTTTTTTATCTATGATTTTTGGACGGTGTCTCTGAAGAAAGATAACACTACCAGTGGCCGAAGAGCATAAAGCGACCACGACAGCGCACAATATATATATATATATATATATATATATATATATATATATATATATATATATATATATATATATATATATATATATTGTAGCTGCCTGATATAGTTCACGAAAATTGGCTCATTCTGCACTATCGCAAATAGACACACTGCCACCCTTTCCAGAATAGATATTCAACAAATCAATCAATGAATCAACGGTTGTTGCCCAGAAACAAGCCTTCAAACGCCAGTGAAATAGCCTTCGGGAGACAATTCGTTATTAAAATATAAAAAAAAGTGGAAGTTAAAGGGCACAGCCTATAATTATTGTATTTGCTTACACAGATACACTAGGACACACAGAGATTATGGAAACAGCAAGCCAGCAACTTCCGTAGGAAGGGGCATGACTCCCTCTTTCTATTTCGGGAGGCTTAATACAAGACACAACACAGAAAATATCAGAGGGCAGTGATGATTATGTAGAGATTTCAGATAAGACAAAGCTCAAGGTATATATATATATCTATATATATATATATATATATATATATATATATATATATATATATATATATATATATATATATATATATAGTGTGAGTGTGTGTGTGTGTGTGTGTGTGTGTGTGTGTTTGCAAATTTATTTTATTGGTTGAAGGCATGCAATCTTCCGCCAGCTACACAATGACTGTGGGTTGCTAATATTAACAAAATGTCCGTTACTAAGACCTTGTACTATGTAGACGTTTAAGCATTGCAAAGGCGGCTACGTAAACAGACGAATAATTTTAATTAAGTCCTGAGGGATTAGCCGGAAAGGACCCACTGGGGCCCTCGGCTTGCCGCCGGCGGCTCCCATGTCGGAATCGAGAGGCCATGCCTCTACGCTGTTTCACAAGCGTGGAGGGCCGTTCAACTGATATTGAGAAAAATCTATGCTCTCTTGTTATCTTGAGCGGAATACGAAAAAGGAGCTTACAGAGTAAAGAGGAAGAAAAAGAATGCAGTCTTACGATTTCGCTGCGCTGAGGATTAGCGCAGCAAATAGATGCTGCCGGACGTCGGGCTCCCGGAACGCGTTCTCGATGTGGTAGCCCAGCAGAAACAGTATGGGTGCCGCGAACGCATCTCCCAGCAGCTAGAAGAGAAGTCGGAGTAATGTCTGGGGTTTCACGTCTTAGAACCACTATATGATAATGAGACATTCCACCATGGAAAGCTCAGAAAATTTTGATTATCTGGTGTTGCTTAACGTGCACTAGCATCGCACAGAACGCGGACCTCTGCCATTTTGCCTCCACTTAAATGCAGCCGGCGTGGCAGGGATCGAACCCACGACCTTCGAGTAAGCAGTCGAGAATCCTAACCTCCGATTCATCGTGGCGGAATGAAAGAAAGAAGGTGGAGAAACCTCCATACACGTGGAGCTGCAATTCAGAGTGCGAGAGTCCAGTGTTGCTATAGTAGCATGCAGTGTAGAAGTGCACAGTTCCAAAACTGCTCTCGCATGGCGAGCGCCCGTGTACTTCGTACCGATCAGGAGTTGAAGTTCTGAATTCTCACTTTGAAAAGTAAGCACATCTTTCTTTGAACATAAATGGTATCTCGTATACGACTCGTGCAAAGGCACGCAACTTTCTGTATGTGGATGAATGGGAAGACCCTCCACGCACACTTTTGCAGCATGAAGACGCAACGCAAACTGCTTTTAAAGAGTTTTTTTTCTTTATTGATGAATACATTGTTCTGGTTTTCGATGCAAATCCGGAACTCACGTCTTTCTGAGTGGTTTGCTTTGACGTCTGAGATAACGACGAGGCTAGCCAACTGTTGTGTGGGAGCGTATGATTAATCGTCCCTCATCCTGTGACATCGGCTAGTATTCGGTTAAAATAAGATGGTACAGCTACCATTATGGAATTTGGTTAGTCCCAGATTCAAATCGCTTAGAGTGAACGAATTTTGTGTCAGGTCTGAAGCGTCATTTGCGAGAGATATGCACCAGCAGCGCACCTTTCGGGTAAGCTGCCCTTTTAAGCAGTGTGCATCTTGTTTC